AGATCTAGTAGCAAACAAATTAAAACACAGACGCAATTAAAATAAAACGAGGAATTTTCCAAGGCGACTCAGTAAGTGCATTATAGTTCTACCTGTGTCTAAACCCATTATCCAACGCCCTATGACACCCATGATGGTTTCAACATGAAACATCACAAAATAACTCAACGTACTAGGGTGGATTGAAAAGTTCACAGCCTAAGTATGAAGGATTGCAGCCAAGTGCTTGTAATTTTTACCGAATAATATGTAATTAATTGTGTACTAATGTATACAGTTTCGTGTCTCTGTCGTCATTTTTCTTCCTTTGAGAGCTAGTGGAGCAGAGGTATTTGCAGTAGATGGAGTAGAGATGGACAAAATTAGAAAACGAACAGCGATCTAATACCTGAAGATAAAGGACCCCACATCAAAGATCATTTAAGGACCTTGCAAAAATTATTCGAAATTCTTGCGAAAATCATTCAAGGTCCTTGCGGTGATGTCCTTTGTCACCAGGTACTGGATCATTCCTCACTTCTATTCGTCTCTTCCGTGTGAAGCATTTAGTGGGTGCCGGATATAACCGGCGCTGGTCGCGAAAGGGTTAAATCTCATGTACAGAAACCGCAATTTATTTCCGGACAACCTAATAATATACAGAGTAAATACAAGGAAAAAATACCAAATTACACATCCTTATCGATAGAATTGAGTAGGACATGGAAACAATAAAAAGCGTACATAATCCCATTATAAAATCAATCGACAAGAAACTTCACGCAGCTCTGCTTTACCACGACAATGCATAAAAAGATACAGAAAGTCGCAATTTTGAGAACATCCAGCATTGTTCGCAACTTCCTGAACGCGTTAACACGACCAAGCCAAGTACCTACTTTGTACGACTTTCGAAAGCTTTTGAGCAATACAAAATAATAATAATAAATCTTCGTCTTAAATTTTCAAATTCTCACTTGTTGTTCCCACCTTCGAATTGATTTGAAAAAAGTGTCGTTCGATTCTCCGAACTTTGTCTTAAAAAGTAAGCTTTCCAAAATAACGGAACAATTTCACAAATGTTTGTATTGGAAATGGGTTATGGAATGAAATAGTCTTTTAACTTTGTAATATACGATTTATTTACGGTCTCAGAGGAAACGTCTTTACTCTATTGAATCTTCTGAAGGACTGTTTCTGGGCACCCAAAAGATAGTTGGGGTCCCCTTATACCTAGAAACTGTTTACGTTATGGTATGGCATTGTGCAGTGAGTGACTCGAAGACGAACACCAGATGCATCTGGTGGAAGTCTTAGTGCCTTTGTTTAAAATAACCCGGAGACATTTTTGTCCTTACTTGATTATTTCCATAGGGTGTTGTTAGAAATAATCCAACAGTTTGAAAAAATAATAAATTTGTGACAGTGAACGAATGCTGTTCGATTTAACGTGGGATAGCTAGTATATTTTCAGCCGTCCATTTTAGTTTCACCGTATGTGTGTTTTAAAGCAGGTTTCAAACTTACAAGCACCAAAAAAAAAGAAAAAAATACAATCTCCAAATCCACTTATTTAAACCTGCCACCAGCCATTAACATAATCCCTCCAGCCTCCCAGGATTAATTTGAAACAACTGTTGGATCTGTCTCCGTTCGTTTGACATTCTGAAGAAAAAAAGAGTGACAAGGGTACCGGTAGTCAGGTAGAATTCATGGAGAATTTATCGAAATCGAGTAGGCTGTAATGAAGTTGAATCGAAAATAGAACGAAGACGAAGAAAATAGATACTGCAACTTGCGTAACTTGCTTCATTTTTATCGTTTTTATTGATCTGCAACTGTGACTGCCAAACGAGGAATGAGAACGATTGTAGATAGAAATTGGTGAATCGATTGTTCGATTTTATAGCTCGTTGTAAGCATGGGAGAAAGGAGCCACCTGAAGGTTGCAAGTCAAGGCTAGACACTTTCACTTGCGCCCAGACCCTGTCTTCTTGGGAGCGAGCTAGGAGCTGCCTTCCCACCTTACTTTACTATTTACTTTTGTATCTGGCCACCGAAGGTCGGGTAAAGGCACGGCAGGAACACCGAATTACGCCTGTTAGTGGAAATATGACGACAGGCTACGCGTAATCCCCTGTGGTTAAATGATTGCGTAGTACTATTGTATTTTCGCGGGATGAACACTTACATACTGCCGCTCATAAGTGTTAGGACACGTATTATGTTTGCACAGAAAGTTATATTTTATTATACGTGTACAGGGTGAACCGTGAAACGTGATCACCTTAAATAATCGCATCGGTAGTGGACGGGTCGAAAAATTTTTTTGTATGCTATAGTCATCTTGAGGGCCTCTTTGAATCGTATGCGAAAAAAATTTCAATCGGTCCACTAACCACGGAATTATTTAAGGTGATCACGTTACGCGGTTCACACTGTGTATTGAATAGAAATTTTAGTGGCTTAAACCTTTAACCTACAACAACGTGTCAGACTCGGGGCAGAGATTCCGGTGAAGATGTGACAAAAACGGGTATATTAGCGAGAAAAATTCATTGTAATCCTAACTTTCGTTGCAATTTGTAAAATTAAGGATTCCTAAATGTAATTAACCTGTAACAGATTAGCTTTTGTTACTTGACACCAGTACTGAAGTAGAAAATGGCCGACGCTTAGATGCGTAGTCAGAAAAGAAATCATAGGTTAAGGGGCTAATATGATTCAAAGAAACTCTTAAGATGACTACAGTGAAAAAGAAATTTGGAGAGGTCCACTAAGGACGGAATTATTTAAGATAACCACCTTAAGTGAATTATATTGTGATTTATATTACATTTCTTCGCCAAACTTAGTATCATATCGTCACCTTAATACTACAACTATATATCTTAAACTCGTCAATAGGACAACTGAGTTCATTACCAAGTATTGGCATTGAAAATGGAGTTAATCTTCAACTTATCCACTTTTAATATTTCCAAATACTGTTAGACTTGTCTACCTTTAGCATACCACAGTTGCAAGGAAAATATGTCTTTTGATTAATTTATCCAGAAAATGTGAATTTACGAAAATTAGGGAAGGAAGTGTAACGAAATAAAGGAAAATTTTATTACCTCTCTTTTAATGGTATTAGGGTGACAATGTACACTACCGGTCGAAAATTTCGGATCACTGTGCATTGCAAATTACATAAAAATTTCCGCAAAATAGTTAGCAATCTTAAGAATTTTTTATCACACAAATCAGTCGAAATGAGGTAAATTGCTATGGATCTGTACAACATCAATTTCAAATCTATAAAAAATTAGTCTCAGATTAAATGTTGATGTATTAAAAATTACCAGGTGATTCCAATCTTTGGATCTGTCGCGTGTATCGGTAAAAATGTGTGTTCGTTACATTACGAGATTCCAAACTGAATAATTTCTTTTGGATCTTAATCACTGTTTAGGTTTAGTTCACGTTCAATAAGGGTCCTAATATTTATGAACAGGAGTACCGAACAAGTCTTGTATAAGAGTGTTTAATCGTAGTCATGTTTCAATCGTAGTCAAAATTAATAAGTTGGCTGTATTGAACATTAAGGATAGTTTATATTATTGCGAGCACCGTGTATAATTTCATGGCCTGCTGGTGCTCGTTCCGAAATAAAGAATACGGTCGGACGTTACCAGCCGATGCTAATCAATTTATTAGGCTGAAACGAACTGGAAACGGAGACAGACATCGCGTTAAATTACTGTTTTTTGAACAAAGTTCTCCTTTTATAGACCAGAAGTGTTTGTGTTTCTTTTTATTATAATTGAGCATTTATTATAATTGAACGCTCAAAGGTACTGCAACATTGCACAAGGTATATTTATTTCTGTACGCTGTTAGTGCCCCTCTTGTAATATCCGTATGATCACCATTTTTCTTGTTGATGCTCACCATTTTGCAATGTGTAATTTGATCGTAATCAAATAATTCGTTACGATAACATTATCCTCGATTAAGCCGACATTTCAAGATTCAGGGTCATTTCAAGGTCGTGATATATAGGTCGTTGAACTCGTTTAAACATCAGCTACAACAGTATGAAGTTAATACGTAGTGTCGTTTAAAAAAGTCAAGGCGACCCTGAGTTTTTATCGAAAAAGCAATTTATTACGATTGAAAGCTGATTAATACGTACACCCTGTACATAGTTTACCAAGTACTTATGAGTTTAACCTCAATCGAAAAGCCGCAGAAAGATGTGTAAAGCGATTGGAAAGGGTGTGCAGTTACTAATCGCCAGTCACAATAATAATTTACGTTTCCGTTCGGAGTATCGGAAAAGTAACGACAATCACCTGCAAGAATGTATTGCAGAAAATCTACGTGAAACATTCGGAGAATTTTGGAAAAACTCTGAAAATGTCAGAGACAACAGCGACATATGATTATCTTCGTTCCGATACTTACCTCCTACGCTCCACCACCACAGAAACGAGCTAACAATAAGTAGCGAAACATCAACGTCTTTCGCAAGTCCTCGCCTAAGCTTCTATTCATACTAAAAGAACCTCTGATCTGAACCTAACTGTCCTCCGCGTCTAATAAGGCACGGGTCTCCTCAGAGCCGCATTTATCGTAAGGCGCGTTAGGCGCAGGCGGGCGCCTCGCTCTCTACGGGGCCACATTTTAAAACCTTACTCCTCTAATTTATAATTGCAAAATGAATTACTTGTTTTCACGTATTAAATACATAATAGAAAGACACGAAGCCGCTTGAAAAGAAATTTGTACGAATTTGATTAACTGAAATAGATTTGTTCTTTTGAGACTTCGTAACGATGTCGCGCCTAGGGTCTCCAAAAATATAAACGCGGCCCTGCATTACATCTCTAAGAAATTTATAAACGGAATATTAGCATACTGCTGTTATCTATGACGTTGTGGCATGCCACTGTATTATGTGACTCACAATCAGCCAGATCCCGTTTCGCGTTTGCCCTGCATACCCTTTTGTGAGGATCCACTTCGCTCCGAAAATGAGAATTTGGGACCTTTCTGGTACCGAAGAAGCTGCGATCAAATTTTTCAAAGACAATGACGGCCTTTCTGACAAACATGTACATTCACAACGGCGAAATTAACGAAACATCTATTTTCTAGAATGATTTGATTTAAAAAATATCCTATAGGGAACCTTGCAGAAGAAATTTTGCAAGCCCACGTACGTACTTATATTACATGCTGATGAAAAAGTGGATTCAGAGGCAACGAGATCAAACCTCTGCTTACGATCTCAACTTTCACACGATTATACAGAACGCTTACAATGGGCATTAACATTATTTCATTTGCAATTGGCGCTTGGGAAAATACCGCACAATGAGTTGAATTCTGCAATGTGTACTGCGCGTTAGTTAACTTTATTCTTGATTAATGTCATACATGTAATAATTGTAGTGTAGCATTGCCAATGAGAAGATAATTGCTGTAACAGTCAAGTAATAAACAGATATAATAGTAAATATAATAATAAACCGTATAATCAATTATTCAAGGTTTATAATCGCACAAAAATCTGCTGTAACTGAAAAAGTTAAAGAGAAATTAGTTTGCGCGTTTGAACCTATAATACAAACTTTATTTGTTTATTTTTATGAATTCTATGAATCGAATTAAGTTTTGAAACGTATAATTCTGAAAAACTCTGTACATATATACTTTTTTCATTATGTTAAATAGAATAAGTAGGGTAAAGTTGCCTAATATGAGACCCATTTCTTAAAGAAGTCATAACTGTCGACTAAGAACACTTTTATTAACACTTTACCGACCGGTAGCTTGTTAATCGGCTTTTTGCCACGAACGCTTACCGACCGATGGCCTATAAATCGCTTTTTTGCCGCGAACGCTTACCGACCGGTAGTCTATTAATCGGTCAAAGTTCGATTTAACATTTCTATAGGTGTAAGAAAAAGCGCATATATTCCCTAGATAGCCTAGAGTCTAAATGGAGCCGGTGTCAGCGATGTATCTGTGACCGACTGAGCGGTCGGAAGTGCGTAGGATGTTCAACCGCTACCGGTCGGTAAAGTGTTAAAATTCGATACATGTTTTAAGAGTATGATATGTATTCTTTTGTAAGGTACTGGAATGTACAGTAAAGAAAATTCGGTTCCTTCGTAATAAAATAAAAACGAAAATTATGCAAATACACAGATTTAAAAAATGGGTTCCTCATATGAGGAAACTAAAACAAAATTGGGTACCTAATATGAGACTCTTCTTATAATAGGAACTTGCGAGGGTCTCATATTCGGAAACAATAGCACGGTAGCTATTAAGTAGCTTCGAGATTAAGTCTTCGTTATTTAACGATACGCGACTAGTAAGCCTTAAATGAGGCTCTTCTTATAATAGGAACTTCCGAGTAGCTTCGAGATTAAGTCTTCGTTATTTAACGATACGCAACTAGTAAGCCTTAAACTCCATTGCTTGCACTATACAACAGTATTTATGAACATGATTATAAACTTACTATTTTCCAGGTATTTGTAATTTAATCGAACCACGTGAAAAACTTTCTGCAACGTATTGCACAAATATGCTCGTTGAAGACGCTTGATTGATTTGAATCAAATTTGCTATTTAATTTGATAATTAACGCGGTTAATTACGAAACCAAACAGCATCGCTACGACATTCAAGTGTTCTGTAACGGAGGTATGCTGGAGTCTCATATTAGGCTACTTTACCCTATACACAAAGTAACAATTGTACTTAGTATTGTTGTTATAACTTTTAAATAAAACTGCAAACAACCTATGTTCGTATAACATTCTTTTCTTTCTTATGCCCATAGAACATACTTATAAAGTTTGATCGGAACAAATTGGAACACCCAGTATGTGACAATCTTTCATTAATTCATTAGTGGTGTTGTCATTCTCGTTGAGAAACAAATTTCTTGTTATATATTATTTAAAAAAAATCAAAAATTAAAATTATTAGAGGCATGAAAAATGAAGAACGACGTAGTATGATGTGATGCCCGGTTTGCTCCAGATATTGGGGTATCACTGAATTAAAACACTTAAGAATGGTCGTTGCGTGAAACAGAACTTTATTTGACGGAGATTTTTGATGATACGTGACGTGCGCGTGATAAAATAGAGAATAAATGCGAAAATTGAGAAAATAGGTCTATTTAAGGGTTCTGGGAAGATGGACTTTGGGTTGTGACTATGCAGGAGAGTTGGAAGGTGATGAGTCCGGTATAAGTAATGATGAAAGTGGGTGATTCGTTGTAAATACAGATAACTAAAGACTAAGAAGGAAAATATTTGAGGGTGTAACAGTAAGAATGTTTCACAGATACTTAAAAAATAAAACAATCGGTTTATTCTATGTGAAAAATCATATTTTACTCCTGAAGCAGAACCTGATCATATTTTCCCTGTTACAGAATCGTACACTCAGAAGCAGCAGCAAGAAGATCCTTGCCAAACAAAATCGAGAGTCGTCGGAGATCTAGAATACTGTGACCGCTATTGGGAATGCGTGAACGGTCGTGCAGAATTATTCGACTGTCCAAATGGTCTAGTTTTCGCTGGCAAACACCGAGGCGTAACCGAGGGTTGCGACTATCCATGGAGGGCGAACTATTGCGACGGAAAGCGCCAGGCGAATCCACCGATTCCAGCTGAACACTGTGATTGGCTTTATGGCATTTTCGGCCATGAGACGTCTTGCACTAGGTACTGGACTTGCTGGAACGGTACAGCCACAGAACAACTTTGCATCGGTGGACTTTTATACAACGAGAGAGCTAGGTCCTGCGATTGGCCAGAGAACGTCGAAGGATGCCAGAAGCATCGTGAGTATCAAAAAGAACCTTACGTAAATTCCAAATTTCACATTTCCAACCTTAACTGTATAAGTAACGGGAAGTCGCCTTTCCTGAACAATTTTCTCCTTTTTTCATTTAAACCTAACATTACTATTGCACTTAATTCTTCTTTTTCCGAAAAATCAAATTGGACGATCTAGCATTAGTTCCTCGGTTTCTGAACAATGTAATTCATGATCGTTGTCATGATTATTTTTGCATTAGCTGCATGAAAGTATTTCGAAAACGGTAAATTTTGATAGTAATGTTTCAGAAACAGTAAATTAAATTTAAAAAGAATTAAAGCACTGATGTTATCATCAGGTTTGCACGTTAAAAGTCGTCACCGTTAACGTGATCGTTTATGAAATCCTCTGGTTTCCTTTCGCTTCTTCGAGATACGTAGGTTTTCCCTTTCTTCTCACAAAATACGTCGCGTTTCTCACTTTCGAATGCGACCGTGCTTACAAGAAAGCAGGCCAGCGGGTATATCTGAGTGTAGGCTGTATTCCTACTGTTCCTCTTTCTTCCTCAGGGCGACGAAATTAAGTTAGTATTCGAAATGAGATACTGTCGCAATAACTGTACGCTGTAACTAAGAAGTTTGATTAGTCGACGATTAAAATGACTCGTTCCAGTTGTATTTCAATATTTAAATCTTTACAGACGACTCTTTTCATTCATTTTATAGCACACTTTAATTGTGTTTTTCACTGTATTTCATTATTGTCACTTTAAATTTAACAGAAAATTTGAAAGTGAATATTATTACGTCAAATCGAAAGCAACATAGTACGAAATTAAATTTCACAGATTAAACGAACAATTAAAGATTGTTTTAAATTCGAAACGTTGAACTTCTTATCTGAAAACAAACTAAAATCAAATTCAGATCAATGAACTCTTATGTTTCATACGCACCAATCTAACAGATAATATGGTTGGAGCTTTTAAAAATAATAAATAATTATCGTGTCCTTAGTTGACCGTATTCGACGTTTAACATTAAAAATTCCGAAAAAAGTCTTTTTATTCAAAAAAAAAAATCACGCGACACAGCAAAGTGAGCAACTTTCTGAACAACTTTTTTTAACGCACGACGAGCTAAAGGTGGCTGAAAAAAAAGTTGTGGAAATGCTAATCGATCAATCGGTGTTGTATTATTAATGAATTGGCTAAAACGTCTGCCAAAGTAGAATATTCCGTAATATGTAATGGAATCCCTGATAGCTCTGTGCAATGACGACGCAAACGGGAACGTTCCCCTGGGCAAGTCCTGCAACCGCTACTGGCAATGCCAAGGCGGATACCCACGACTGCAGAGATGTCCAGCGATGCTGGTGTTCGATCGAAGGTCGTTAAGGTGCGTCGTCCCACCGACAGAAGACTGCGACGTGCCCACGACGCCACCAAATCTCGAGGGCGACCTTCCCGAAGGTCGAAACGAGCAAGAACCAGAAGAGGAGAATCTTCCACCGGGTGTACCACCATTACCAGCTGGTGCATTGCCAATTTCCCTTCGATCTCGTCCCAGAAATTAGATGACGAAACTCGCTGTTCCGCGAACCACCTTAGACCGTATTTCTAAGTGTGCAATATGTAAAGTAGAACACGTTCGAATGGTTCCATGAGTTAGCATGTAAATAAAATAATTGGAAATTCTCATTGTTTAGCATTGTTTCATTCGAATTACATCGATGGATTGTTCTTTGAAAGGTGTCACAAGCTTGAAATGAATTGGTCACTCGTGTAGTTTCAAATAAATAAGTTCCAGTTTTTCTCGTCAAACTTTGTTGGCGTGTTCCACGGGTATACACTACCGGCCAAAAGTTTGGAATCACCGAGCATTGCAATTTACAGAAAAATTTCTTATCGTTCGAATCAATTGATATGAGATAAATTGATAAATGTGGAATTGAGGTGAACTTCGAATCTGTAAAAAATTAGCAGCAGATTTTTAATATTGATGAAAAGTGGGAAGTGATTCCACACTTTTGGCCGGTAGTGTAGGTAAGAAGAAAGTGTTAGACAAATATAGGCAACTAGCGGCCGTAGCCGTGCATGTCTACCGGTTCCCGTTCGATCACCGAAGTCAAGATGCACTGGGCGGCGTTCCGTAAGAGATGGGTGACCATTCCGCATCCATCTCTGGAAAAGCCGTGCTGCTGGTTTTATCAGGCTGAAATTTCACACAGACGTTAGTTCCATCCTTACCAACGTCTAGAAATTGTAAAAGTTCAACAGCAAAAATCCTTACCGCCAAGTTGGGGTTCAAGCATGGTCGGGCGTCCTCGCTCATTCTCCGGCTTGTTCTTCGGTTGGTGGTTTCGATGGGAAGTAGAAACCTGGTCTGATAGGGGTATAAGCTTACAAAGCTGAGGCACCCCTGAGTCCTTCTAAGAACGACCCACACTAGTTGTAGACAAATATAGGCAGGGCTGTAGTGGAGGGTATACGACGTATACCCTGTGGTTTGATCTGAGCAAATAGCATATACGCTGTGCTTATTGAAAATTTTGAGACATAAAATTTTTGAATATTCACATAAATATTTTAAATTGTATCAATTTGCTTTTAAAATGATAATTTTTTACTAAATACGCGACTAAAACATTTTATTTCATTATTTTTTTTTTTATTTAAGCAATATTTAAAATTTCTTTCAACAAGTAATACAATGTATGGATTTCTATAACTATACATGGTATACCATATACCGTATACCTTCTGCTGATTTTACGACTACAGCTCTGAATATAGGTTGTTTGATGCTTTGCGT